GTGTGTACCTCTGTTGGACAGCTTCTCCAGCAGCATCCTGAAGCGTTGCACCACAGATGGAGACACATCGTAGGTGTAAACCTCCTTCACCGGAGCAGAGTGACACTTCCCAAACATCCCGTCTGTCAGCACACAAACAGGAACTTTCAGCAGAGAATCTAACTCACATTTTACATTTCACTTTTCACACTGAGGTCACCGAAAGAGACGCACATTTGTTGAAAGGTTGGGCCGTTTCCAGACTCTCACACTTGACCAGGAATAGAGGGTTTGTGCTGCTGCTGAGTTCAGGAACATTTCACACGATTCAGGCGGCATTACACAGCGTGGTGGTGTTCATTCAACATGCAGGGTTTGGAGCAACAAACACACCAGCTTTTCTGTGAGCAAACTGGAACTCTGAATTAAACTACATTTAAAACAGAACATGTGAGGATTTGCTTGCATCAAATGGAACTTTATTGAAGTCAGGTATGAAAACCCCAAAACACACTGGCTGGATTTAAAAGGCATGTTGTCTTCACAAAATCACAAAAATTACAGCATCTATCAGAGAAAGAAGCATAAAAACTAAAAGAATGGTTTGTGTATTGTGCTGCTGCTCCAGTAGCCAAATCTGAGCTTAAAGATTGTGACCTTCCATCAAAATCAGTTTATTCTTCATGTCTTATTTACAAATTCACTACAAATAAAGTATAAAAATATGGACGTTTTGGACTGCAGGCCGTGTTTACAGGCAGCAGAAAGGAAAAAGGTCCGGGAACAAATTAAAATATAAATATTAAAATATCTACAGTATCTGGAGCCGTCATCTCTCTCTGGTGTTGGTGACAGCTGTTGATTCCAGGTGGGTTTTAGCATTTCTAAAACAGTTTGACTAATAATCGATGTTAACTCTGATCCCTTTAGACGGAGCTCCCACTGAGCTCTTCTCTGGTTTGAAGTGCAGTTTTGAAGCTGTGTGCATGTTTGTAAATGTTCTGTTTTTACTTGTTGACGCTGAGATCTCTGTTCACTGATTCAACAACAAGCTCTGCTCACACAGTCGGACATGAATGGGTCCTAAGACGTTAGTGTTTGGTGCAAAAGTACGCCAATAAAAAACTAAAAACTGAAGTGAATGAACATTTTAACAGAATAGACTAAAATGTAGGAAATGTTCTGTAAATGAAGAACCTGGACTTCTTATTTAAACAACTTAAACACAAAGTGTTCCAGGAAATATACACGTGTGCATTGTTTAAAATTCTAATGAAGTTGAACTCTTTGGACTCTCAGCCGTTAATTTACAGACATTTATCTCATGACTCTTCCCTCGGTCATCCTTCCCTAGAAACAGCCACACAGTGGGTTGTGTTAATGCGAGCTGCAGCAGGAGGCTGTCTCACAAAATGAAACCGTGGGTTGAGAAAGCGTCGACAAAGATGAGTCAAAGGACAGAAATAAACTGGAATATTTTCAAGCAGAGCTCAACAGAGCACGATGACGTTATTCTAGAATAAATATATATAATATATATGAATATGAGGCGACACGGAGGTCTGCAGCAGGTAAAAGACACCATCACTTTATCTGCTTTTGAAAACAGAAAAACGAAGCTAATGAAGCTCATTAAGTTCATCTGCCTTCACATGTGAAGATATAAAGTTAGTTAAAGTCAGTCCACCTGTTGCAGGTCTGTGAACGTGAACATACTCCAGCTGGGTGTACAGCCTTTACTCCCTAAAACTGGAACTCACATCACATCTGTCTGCGCTGTGACAGTCGATCAATACCTGGAGTTGTTTTAGTCGCAGTGGCAGCATTTATTGATCGACAGCAGCAGTTTGGAGAAAATTAAAGTCTGAGTGCTTTGATTGATGTCTGAGGCAGGATCCTGAAAAACACGTTGATCAGATGCAAGACGACACGTTTCTGTTTTGTTTGGTGTCTTTAATGTTTGTGCAGCTGATGAAGCTGAGAAACTAACAAACTGTAAGAATCCAGATTTCTGTTCACACTGATCTGTTTTCCAAATACACAAATATCTGACATGAAAGGTTTCTATTGACCAGATTCAACAAACTGGAGGCTTTTCCACAAAACTAAAGGAACGTTTTGCACTGAGGTCACTCAGACTGTAAAATGATATAATGTGTGAATATTATAGTCAGTATATTATAAATGAGACATTTTTAAACCAGTGTATGTTTACGGTGCTACAGACGTCCTTAATAACTGCAGACCTGATCACAGTAACAGCACAATATGAGGTTTGCTGTTTAATGCTTTAACTGGACGTTCCAACACAAACACTGTATTTATAATCAACATTAACTGAAGCTGCAGCTGCTTGCAAATTAAAACAGTCTGCATTTACAATGAAACCAGACACTACAAGCTCAACGTGTCTTTAATGTTCATGATAAACGAATTAGAGACGAGTTCTGAATAACAGCAAGTATCTGTAAATGAATTCTATTTTCAAAAGATTTAAATACAGAAATAAAAAACAGCTCAATATTTCTAAAAGTCCTGATTTCTGATGTGCACATTCGGTTCATGTTTGGTCTGTTTTTGTTGTTGTTGTTGTTGTTTTTCTACAGTCAACATAGAAATGAACACTTTTTGTGATTTTACTAGTTATTATAAATAATCATATTTTTGTTGCTCTAAATACAACAAAAAATGTGTAATTTGTAGTAAATATGTTGGAAAAGTCTAAATTACAGTTTGGAAAAATCTGTGTTTGTGAAATATGGACGATATGAACGGATCTGGTTTGTTCTGTTCTACAGTCAACATGGAATTTCTTCATATTACCTGTAGTTCAGCCAAAAAAAGGGAAAATCTATTATTAAAAAACTGGTAAAACTATTAACTGTTTTTCAGTCACGAATATGCACAAGTTTTCATTTTATGGTCCAAAACTAAAAAAAAAAAAAAGAAGAAGAAGAAGTAATCACACTACTTGTAAAAGTTCAGATGTTTGATGTGGACATTATTCACAGGCTTGGTCAGCTAATCTACACATTATCTGTGATCTCTGTAGATGTCATGGATGAACTAAAGCAGCAAAAACCTGCTTTATAATGTGAAACTAAAGTTTTTCAGTTCTTGTCATACTTTTTTTTTTTTTTTTCAAAAAACAGCAAATGCGTAAAATGATTACAGATTCTATATATTTGCTGCTTTTAGTTCAGCAAAAATAGTGACACAGTAAAAGAATGAATCTGTAAGCACACAGATGTTTGATGTGAACATTATTATTAGTCTTTGCCGTTCATTTATTATCTATTTTGCAATAACAAGGCGATTAAAAAATTTTTGTCTAGTTTTTCTTAGATATTATCAGTAATTAAACCAAACAGGGAAAATCCATAACATGACTGACATTGTTCACAAAGTCACAGTAAAACAGTGGATTAAACTATTTCAGTTGAATTCCTTCTGGATGTAGTTCAGATTCAGCCGTTATAGAAACGTATGTTGATGTATGTTCACTGATGTTTGTGACGTCAGCACTTAGCTGCACGTTGCACAAGAACACAACTGTGTGGAAACTCAGGCCTCTTCAGATAAATACTCTGCGTCATTGTACTCGTTTGAATCAACTGTAAGCTCCATCGAACAGGCAGCTGAGGATGACCAGCGGCTGCTCTGCTGTAATTACTTCACATGTTCCTCTGAGTGCAGACGGAGGAGAGCCGGAGGTCAACAGTGTTTCAGAAGGAAGAGACAAACGTAGACAGAAGAGTTTTGACCGACTGGAAAACCGCAAATTTACCCAAAACTTCCTAATTGGTACAAATGTCTGTAGCTTGCTTGAAGCTATTTTTGTTGCTGAATAAATTACGCAGAAAATGCAGACAAATGGGTTCGTTAAAGGACGGATTCATGCCAGGATGTGATGACAGTTATGAGTCATTCTGCACTTCTGGAAAAAGGAATGTGACGATTACACTGAGTCGCCATCATTGTGCCGTTGTTTACCTCATTTTCATCATTTTTAAAGTTTGCACAAAAAAACTTTTTAAAATTGAAAAACAAACAAAGAAAACTAATTTTCTTTCCTTGTCCTTGAAGATCAGAAGCGTCTCCCTTCGCTTCCATCATCTCTGAATATATCTCTCGTAACCAATCCAGAGCTCCAGCATTGTGGCCAATATTCAAATTAAATTATTTTGACCCTGGGTGACAGAGTGGCCTAGATTTCTACAAGAACTCGGTATTCTTCAACAATACTGCTTCGCTTTTACCCTCACGTTTGCTCTGCTGAAGGGAATTTGAGCAGGAAACTGAAGCGAGTTAAAGGTCAGTATAACTCCAAAGTAAACATAAGTGGAAAAATGTAAAAGCTCAGAAGATTTTTTTAAGCAGCAGCTCCTCCCAAAGCAGTGCCACAAAAATACCACTGCTGTGTGTTCTGCCGTACGAGCTCATCATATACAGCCACATAAGGAGATTTTATATTTGACTGACAGCTGCCTAAACTCTCAGAACTTCCACTAAACATTTATTGGTCCAAATAAACCTCAGCTTGGTCTCCAGCTCCACCTATGATACGAACAAATCTGTTTCACTCTCTTTGGCCTCATTTTATTCTACAAAATAACACAACAGTCATTTTGTGTCTCCCTAAATCTAAGCGGTTTGTCTCCAGATGACTATGTTTCACGGCCGTACACTCATAAAGGTCCCATTTTCAGCACCTGAACAAAAAGCTTACATGTCCCCAGAAGGTGTCTTTTAATTTTTCAACTCAAAACCCTCCAACGATGGTTCATTTGTGTAACTTCTGGTTTTAGTCCTTTTCTTGTTCTTTTTTAAAGTTATTTTTGTGGCTTTTATTGGACAGTGTAGTCAGACAGAGACAGGAAAGTAGGGGAGAGGACATGTGGGACAGGACCATGAGTGGGATTAGAACCCATGACCTCCACATGGGGACTGTAGACCTGCACATGGGACGCCAGCTCCACCAGGTGAGCTGTAGCGGCGCCCTGTTTTAGTCCTTTCCTAAACTGGCTGTTTCAGAGTCTGTAACTTTAAATGCATCTGAACAGCTGCTGTCCTCACTTCCTTCAGGAAGGAGAATCTCTGCATCTGTGATGAAGAGCAACACAGCTGACCACATGGCAGCTGACACATCGGTAAATGAGGACTTTCTATGGCCACTGACTTTCTCTGAAAGTGATCATTTGGCACATAAACATCTTCAAAATTCACAGCACATATGTTGTTTTTGACTGGTGTTGGGTAAGTCTGTCGAGCCATGTTGAGGGTATAAAATCAGCCTTTTAGCTGCTGGTAAACATCTACTTCTAACGAGCAACATTGAA